TTTTTTTTTTTTTTTTTAAATGATGTGCACTGATAAACCATAAACATTAAGACCAGTAGAATTTATTGAGGAAGCAAACAGGGTCAATCAGGATTTCAAGTTGCCTTTACGCATTGAATTAGACCATACTATGTGCGGGAATCCCTCAGAGACTCACACTCTTTAGTTCATTTGTGCTGCCTGCAGATTTATACATAAAAAAAATAAATAAATAAAACGCGCTTATCAAATCATACTGTGCAGCTCATACTGCATTCAGAGCTTATGTATAATTCATCACTGATATATAACATTTCATATTAGGGGGCCGTCAGCCTCTTTCTACCCCTGTCATTTCTCTTACAATTTTTCGCAGACTCTCAGCTCAACACATCTTTTTAAAGCAAGGTATTATAAACAGCCCAGTGGCCTCTAGCAGTGCAGCTCTTTAAAAATTCATCAATGAAAGAGCTGCCCCCTCTGCACCATATCAGTTTACCTTTATTTCACAAAATCGTGACGAGACATACATTATTAACCAGTTGCTTGAACGTCCAAGCACACAACTCCCCAAGCAAATGCAGAGACGCAAAAGCAAACATGGACCCTTGAATATGAAGCTGCCTGTCTCACAAAAACCCCTCTTTAGTGTAGCAGGGCAGCACACAGTGGGTCTTGTGACCGACATTGAGGGGAAGTGTGAAAGTTCACTTCCTTGCTTCAACACCAAGGACAATGGGTGGCTGGGTAGGTCTCTCCACCTTTATTTTCTTCCTCCTGTCTTTCATCCTGTGAATGGTACAGCCATCCCATCCGGGAGAAGACAACAAATGGTGGTAAGTGTTCTGAATGGACTGCTCGTCTCAAAAGCATTTGTAGCAAGCGTGAAGGTACCATATCAAAAACTTTAAAACGCAGTATGTCAAAGCGCAAAATTAATTGTAAATTCAGAACCAACATGGAGATTTATTTTTAGGACAAGTAAAGAGAAAATTAAAACAAACAAATTAAAATTCAAATCAGATGTCAATCAGTAAATGAATCTAAACAAATCTTGGAAAACTGATTGAAAAGATTCAAGTCACTGGGATGAATCAGTTTCCACCAATATTTGCTGATGGAGTCTAATTACTGCGAAACTACCCATAATCTCAAACAAAACCAAAGCAGGATCAACGACTGCAACAACAGCATGTTTGGTACACCATAAACAGAGAAAAGTGGGAAAAAAAATAAATAAATAAATATATACACATATAGCCCCCATTAGCATTAATTTTTTTTTTTTTTTTTTAAAGGAATTATTACTTTTATTCAGCAAGCATGCATTAAATAAATCAAAGGTGACAGTAAAGACATATACAAATAATTACTTTAAATATATTCTACTCTTCTGAGTTTTCTATTTATCAAACAATAGAGAAAAAAAATATACACCACAGTTTCCACAAAAATGTTTAGTAGCTTAACTGCTTTCAACACTGATAATAATAAGAAATGCTTGTTAAGAACCAAATCAACATACTACAATAGTTTCTAAAGAATTTTTGACACTGAAGACTGTAATGGCTGCTGAAAATTCAGTTTTGCCATCACAGGAATAAACTACATCTTATATCAAAACAGAAAACAGGTATTTTAAATTGCAATATTATGGTTTTACTCTATTTTTTATTAAATAAATACAGCCTGTTGAATGGTAGTAAAGTTCTGAATCCAGGTTTTAATTCAGTAACAGAAGATAAAATTTGTACATCAAGTAGTTACTTACGATTCACACGTCTGGCAGCTCAGAGTCCTTCAAACGTGGTTCTCCACCTCTGACTTCTGTGAATAAAGAGAAAAAAAGGCATTAAAGATAATCTAATTTCCTCTTGTTATGAAGGATTGACAGAACAAACCTCTTAATTTCATTCAAAATGCTGCAGAATAATGTGACACCTCATTTCTAGTACATATTTTGATTACTACTATTGAAGTCATCATGAAATGTTAGTGTGAAACATCATGAAATGGAAACATCGCCTATTTTCTAAACACATGTTATTAATCTTATTGTGAAGGATTCATCCATCCATTTTTTTTAACCTTATTTTTACCTCATAATCTGGTGATGTATGCCGGAGTTCTCCAATTATTTAGTCTGCTTAAACCCCAATCCTTCTTAACGATTGACTACAAGCTCGTATTTACATCTGCCTACATCCAAATCAACTGATGGACAGAATCAAGTCCCTGCCCTGCATGTTTTTTTCTGGATTAACTTTTTCACTCATCACAATATTGAAGAAAAGATTTGTCACTACAACTATTACATCGCAACTTTAACATCCTGCTAGGAAGTGTTTGCATAAATTACAGCAGAGCCTCATGCATGTCATAAGAGAAAAGTTGAATGATTGTGAACCCATGAAAGAAACTTAAGAATGCAGACGATTTCTGATAGCATTTCCCATGAACCACTTTTTTATATCCATGTAATCAGAGACAAATTATATAGTGAAAAACTACACTCCATAATTTCTTCATCTTACCAAACAATGTTAACACTATCTCTCAAGAGACTGATCATTAGCATAATATTAAACGCAAAGTTGCTGAACTGAATTAGTTTAGCATGCTGCATTTGACAGCGCAATATACAGTGCTTTTGTAGGGCAACCACGAAGTTAGCTTCACCCTGGTAGCAACATACGATTTCTGCAGTGGCTTTTAAATTATTGAAGAACATTTTTTGAATCTTACACGTTTAGTTAATCATGATAATATTTACAAACGAACAACTTTTTGTGTGAGTTTTAAAGCCTAAATACCATTGCAAGATTTAAAAAGATAAATATGGCTAAACAAACTACACCGTGGTCACTTGACTTCAAATTATTTTTTAAGGGGAAAAAAATTATGTATTTTATGTCATTGAATGAAATGTGCAAATATCTTGAGCTTGTGTTAATCACAGGCCTCAGTTCAGGCATTTACTCAAAAACTCATTTAAAAACCTTTTGACTTTTGGACGATGACAACGCAAAGTAGGGCTGCACAATATTGGAAACATTTTCTGCGATATATATTGCGATATGAAAAAAAATCACCACATGACTGAAGTCATCATGAAATGTTAGTGTGAAACATCATGAAATGGAAACATCGCCTATTTTCTAAACACATGTTATTAATCTTATTGTGAAGGATTCATCCATCCATTTTTTTTAACCTTATTTTTACCTCATAATCTGGTGATGTATGCCGGAGTTCTCCAATTATTTAGTCTGCTTAAACCCCAATCCTTCTTAACGATTGACTACAAGCTCGTATTTACATCTGCCTACATCCAAATCAACTGATGGACAGAATCAAGTCCCTGCCCTGCATGTTTTTTTCTGGATTAACTTTTTCACTCATCACAATATTGAAGAAAAGATTTGTCACTACAACTATTACATCGCAACTTTAACATCCTGCTAGGAAGTGTTTGCATAAATTACAGCAGAGCCTCATGCATGTCATAAGAGAAAAGTTGAATGATTGTGAACCCATGAAAGAAACTTAAGAATGCAGACGATTTCTGATAGCATTTCCCATGAACCACTTTTTTATATCCATGTAATCAGAGACAAATTATATAGTGAAAAACTACACTCCATAATTTCTTCATCTTACCAAACAATGTTAACACTATCTCTCAAGAGACTGATCATTAGCATAATATTAAACGCAAAGTTGCTGAACTGAATTAGTTTAGCATGCTGCATTTGACAGCGCAATATACAGTGCTTTTGTAGGGCAACCACGAAGTTAGCTTCACCCTGGTAGCAACATACGATTTCTGCAGTGGCTTTTAAATTATTGAAGAACATTTTTTGAATCTTACACGTTTAGTTAATCATGATAATATTTACAAACGAACAACTTTTTGTGTGAGTTTTAAAGCCTAAATACCATTGCAAGATTTAAAAAGATAAATATGGCTAAACAAACTACACCGTGGTCACTTGACTTCAAATTATTTTTTAAGGGGAAAAAAATTATGTATTTTATGTCATTGAATGAAATGTGCAAATATCTTGAGCTTGTGTTAATCACAGGCCTCAGTTCAGGCATTTACTCAAAAACTCATTTAAAAACCTTTTGACTTTTGGACGATGACAACGCAAAGTAGGGCTGCACAATATTGGAAACATTTTCTGCGATATATATTGCGATATGAAAAAAAATCACCACATGACTTGAATAGTTTATTTGGGAAAAAAATAATCAATGATTGGGGTGTTTTTGTTGGCAAGTAAATCAGCATAGGAAATAAACAAATTACAAGCATAGATAAATATAACAAATGAAATAAGCAGTGCTTGATATTTTTCAGGTAAGTCTAACAGTATTCAGGTACAGAAATTGAAAAATCAAATGTAAAATAACTGCATAGTCTTCACTGTATAAATTAAATCTAATAAATCTGTGAAGCTACAAAAGTGTTTTTTTTTTGTTGTTGTTGTTTGATTAACATTCATGGCACAGAAAGCCTCAGGAACATTAAACTGCTGTAAACCAATATACTGCCACACACATCCATTTTCTTTCTCAATTGTTTCCCTTCACCTAAGCCATAAGCATATGTGATCTGTGTTTACAAGGATACTTGCAGAGCACAGTATTTCAGGCACAAATAGACGCAGAAGTTAACACAATTCAGTAGGGCTGTCGCGATAACCGCAATATCGCAATACCGCGCTATTCACGAGCAAACCGCAGAGGAATTCAAGAACCGCAGCAACCGCGATTTTTGCGTGTTTTCTTTTTTCGTAAGGTTATGCCCTTGTCGTTTTACACTTCATGCATGAGGCCTGAATATTAAACAAGTTAGTAATGATAACATAATTTGTACATGCTGATTTGTACAGAGGCTCCGTAGATTTGCACTTAACAAACCTAAACAGACAGTGAATGAGAGAGAGATCGACTGAGCGCGTGCGATTACTTGTATCTGTCCTCCAGGCCAGGCCGAGTCATATATATTTGTGAAAATAGGTTGTCATGTCCAAGGAAAGCGAAATCTCTGTCTTAGCATCGACGCATAGCTGGTCAGCTGAGCCTTCTAAAGTGGCGCTCAAAGTTAAAATGATTTCAACAGCGTGTTTCATTACGTCCCTTTGAATTAATGAATCAGCGTTTTTGAACGTGTAGTTGAATGACAGTCCCTTACCACCACCTTGTGGCGCAACACTAACTGCACTGACTGACAGCCCGTCTAGAACGCGCGC